GATAAACAATTAATTATTATTTATATCAAATGGCAGGCGTCTTGATGGTTATCATTAGCCCTTTAGTTGACTTCAGGTTTCGCAGAGGGGAAGGAACATCAAAGTGAAAAAAGTCAAGGGGGGAGGGATGGAACAGAAGACTGTTTCAAGGATGTAAGAGACAAACACAATGGTAGAAAAAAGGTGAGGTGAGTAGTGTAGAAATAGTCGAATATGGCATAGAGTGAGGTGATGGTAGTTTGAAGTGAGAAGTCAACTGCCAGTTAATAGACTTTTTTGCCGTATGAATATACGTTGCCCAGGGTGCACCACGAGAAGGTAAATCTATCCCACACCCCACAATTAATTATTACAATTTCTGGTAAATCACTTTCCCTAGTAGGGATAAAGTGCTGCGTAGATTTCAACTAAAGAAGATAATCAACCAAATTGAAAGTGTTATTTCATGGGGAGAGAGAGGGTGGAGGGAGAGTGAACAATTTGATGATGTTTTATCTATAAGAGGAAAATTGTCGGTCGGATGGAACCAAAGGAGCTCTTCTTCATCCGAGTTCCATAAATATCAGGTTGGTTACGCCTTTTGTCGTGGAGTTCCTTCGCACTTTTCTCTTCATTCTACCATCTTCCATCTCATCATAGAATTCTTTTACCAGTAGACAATTTGAATCATCTTCAACACCATCTTATTAGGGCTACGATTTTCTTGCATGGAATGACCATAGATCCTCTTATTATTGAACATCTGCATAGATGCTCAAGAACATAACCCTCTCCACCCCACATATATTTGCTTTGTCTGAGCAGATATAATTGATCGAATTCAAACGTAGACATTTTAGGTGGGATGGTAGTTGGACGTGATTGTTGAACTTAAATAAATGACTCATTCACAGTTCCATTCCGTCCATTTAAATATAAACATTGGATTGCTAAAGAGCCAGGACACTTAGTCTAAATTTGTGATCAATATCATTCATTACTCCTGAAATTACTTCAAAAGTTTAATTAGAACATCACACGATATCTTCACTTAGTTTAAATTAATATGATTTAGCGAAGCGTCTTTAATCGCCTTAAGGGTGATTTCACCCCTGACATTCATTAATATGCTTATCAAAAATCTCGGGATCCCTTTCACAGAGGGAATTCGTCTCCTTTACCTTAAATCATCATCATCATCATCATCATTAAAATAGATTAAAGACGAGGATGATGGCCCTGTTATCTAATTTGCACGAAGGAACTTCAGTCAGTGCATGTCGAAAACGTGAGCATACTTCTGTTTTAGTAATTAATTAAAATTTGTGCCAAATTCAATCGCGTTGTCCATATTACGTGCCCTAAGATGTTTCTGTTTTAGCAGTTACCACGAAGTAAAATTGATTTTACAGATGTTATAATCTTTAATTATGACATACAGTCGGATCAACGCACACGATAGACTGCCATATGATGATAAAAAATTATCTTCGATTTGGACTTTCTTTAAGAGGAACTTGCGCTTTCAATTAAAGAAGTCCTTTCACTAATATATTTCTAGATAGGGTGTGCGATAGACTTACCTCCTCGTGGCGCACTCTGAGCAACGCATACTCATACGTCTAAGTCTATCAACCGGCAGTTGACTTCTCACCTCAAACTACCATCACCCACTTTATGTCGAATTCAACCACTTTAACAGTACTCACCTCACCTTTTCTCTGCCGTTGTGTCTGTCTCTTTTACATCTGTAAATCACTCTTCTGTTCCTCACCCCTCGACTTCGTGTTACTTTGATGTTCCTCCTCCTCTCTGTGAAGCTCGAAGTCAGCTAAAGAGCTAATGACAACTATCAAAACGCCCACCATTTGAAATAAGTAAATAAATAAATTAAATATTTCAAGATTTAATCATAAACCGGGTCTTAGAAATTTCCTAAACTCGGATATCTTTAATTATCCAAGTTATCTTTGCTCAAAATCTCAACACCCTCGGTGCATCCCATAATAATTACCTACTCATACCTTCCAGCAATTGTGAGGAAATGCAGCTTTGAGGGCCAAGTTTACAGGCATTTATCCAATGTCCAAAATGAGGTTAGTGTAGGAAACGCTTTCACTTTCATCCCAGTTAACGAAAGCAGTTACTGCTTTTCGGCATTCTTCAATTTCTTCATAAATTGCATGCCCTGTTAGAAAGGAAACTCGATTTAGCGGTTGCATGCAAACCTATATAGACCAATGACCTCTAAGGCGATTTTGATTGGCTCACAGGGATAAACCAATCAATTGCCCAGTAGTTGTNACAGAAGACTGTTTCAAGGATGTAAGAGACAAACACAATGGTAGAAAANTCATCATCATCATTAAAATAGATTAAAGACGAGGATGATGGCCCTGTTATCTAATTTGCACGAAGGAACTTCAGTCAGTGCATGTCGAAAACGTGAGCATACTTCTGTTTTAGTAATTAATTAAAATTTGTGCCAAATTCAATCGCGTTGTCCATATTACGTGCCCTAAGATGTTTCTGTTTTAGCAGTTACCACGAAGTAAAATTGATTTTACAGATGTTATAATCTTTAATTATGACATACAGTCGGATCAACGCACACGATAGACTGCCATATGATGATAAAAAATTATCTTCGATTTGGACTTTCTTTAAGAGGAACTTGCGCTTTCAATTAAAGAAGTCCTTTCACTAATATATTTCTAGATAGGGTGTGCGATAGACTTACCTCCTCGTGGCGCACTCTGAGCAACGCATACTCATACGTCTAAGTCTATCAACCGGCAGTTGACTTCTCACCTCAAACTACCATCACCCACTTTATGTCGAATTCAACCACTTTAACAGTACTCACCTCACCTTTTCTCTGCCGTTGTGTCTGTCTCTTTTACATCTGTAAATCACTCTTCTGTTCCTCACCCCTCGACTTTCCTCTCTGTGAAGCTCGAAGTCAGCTAAAGAGCTAATGACAACTATCAAAACGCCCACCATTTGAAATAAGTAAATAAATAAATTAAATATTTCAAGATTTAATCATAAACCGGGTCTTAGAAATTTCCTAAACTCGGATATCTTTAATTATCCAAGTTATCTTTGCTCAAAATCTCAACACCCTCGGTGCATCCCATAATAATTACCTACTCATACCTTCCAGCAATTGTGAGGAAATGCAGCTTTGAGGGCCAAGTTTACAGGCATTTATCCAATGTCCAAAATGAGGTTAGTGTAGGAAACGCTTTCACTTTCATCCCAGTTAACGAAAGCAGTTACTGCTTTTCGGCATTCTTCAATTTCTTCATAAATTGCATGCCCTGTTAGAAAGGAAACTCGATTTAGCGGTTGCATGCAAACCTATATAGACCAATGACCTCTAAGGCGATTTTGATTGGCTCACAGGGATAAACCAATCAATTGCCCAGTAGTTGTGAGCTTGAATATCATAAGAGCCAACATTTGGTGGAGGGCGCATTGAAACGACATCCTTTGCAAAAAATGGTAAGTTTGTTCCAGTGTTTATTTTTTTACTCTATTTTTTCATTATAAAGGCTTTGCATGGTGGCACGTCTTTGGCACTAATAAATTGATTGTGCAATTTAAATTAATGTTAGCTTTTGATTATATACATGATAACTTTTGAAGCAACTGAACTCCGTTAAGAGAAGTGAATTCTGGGCTATTTATGTCTTTCTTTGAGTTTGAACTAGAATATTATATTATTACAAAATCCAAATTTTATGAATCGATCGATGTTAAATGTTTTTTAGAGAGATTTTAGAGCCAGTGTTTTAATCTTGCATTTTTTTGCCTTTAAGAGTTTATTTTAATTGTGGCAGTTATTGATACGGTATGGTAAGTCGCCAGTTTTTACCATTGGGAGGCGTCATATTTCCATAATGTTCTAACGCGGTTAGGTAGTAAGGGAATAAAGTAAAATAATCCCTAGATCGAATGACTTTGCTTAAGTTGCAAGGCAATTTTATTCCCATTTGCCTCTGCCAAAAGGTCTTCTCTAGTTTGCTTTTTTGCGTGACGGTTCAAGACACCGTTATCCAGAGAGACCTGATTTAATGGCAGGTCGAATTAAGGTATTAGTGGTGGTTTTTAGTGGGGATATCTATATCTACCACCTGTTGCACTGATGAAATTTTACTCTGTGTATTTGCAACTTAAATCGTTATGTTTACTTTGTAACTGCAAATAATCTTAACGCCTTGTGCGTACATGGGACTAACCGCTCAACTCTTGGGTCAACTGAATTTCGTGTGAGGGTCATGATTTGAATTAGTTCGGGCCCCATGTTTACTCTACCATGATTAACTGATGTGAATATTTAAGGCAACAGCTTGTTGCTAGTATATTGGCACAGTTAATATCGATGGGGTAACGAATTTTGCATTAAACCCAGAGAACTAATAAGTGGGGAATCATTCGATGTCCTGTTTTTCCTTTCTGTTATACATTTTTTTTTCATCGTTTTTACTCAATTTTGTGATTTGGTGTTCTCCGTTGTCCTACGACTTTTATCACTTGAAATAATTCAGAAAAACGGTTCTCTTGAGGCGCCGTCTGGAAGTTGATAAGAGATGTCAGTACTCAAGTGTGGAGTATATTGTAACCATGTATAATTTCCGAATGACCTTTTCCAACTCATTTATTGACAGTGAAAAGCATTAAGTTTGGAGGTACTACCTTGGGAACCCTTAAGTTTAAGCAGGCGAAAAATTGACCCCTTCTCTTGAATTAACCTTGGATAATCTCGATAAATAATCGATAATTTTATTATTATTGGCTTTGGCCTATAAATATTGGAACACAGAAAGAGCCCAGTAAGGTATTAAATGAAGAGCGGTGAAATAAATCCAGGGCCTTTGAGCTGTCATATTACTTAAATATTTGTGGGTAGGACTTCTTGCCAACAGTTAATACTTTCTATACTTAATTATACAAGGAAATCTGCATGAAATTATTGAATTCCAAAATTTTTATGTCTTTATTTAACGTCGATTTTATTGATTTACTTTAATTTCCGGAATGTTTAGGTCTCAAAGCTCGTATAAAACTTTAAAAGAGGGGAACTAACTTTCCACTCGAAATAATTTTCAAAATGCTGTTTTTAGTAAATCAAAAAAGGACTTATTTCTTGTGACTTCAAATTGTTCTAAGCTCAGCTTTCATATCACCAATACTGCAGCTTATTTGCGGTTTGTGTGTGCTCTGCATTCGAGGAATTCGAAACAAGAATTCGAATTTATTGTTGCTTCTACGCACTGTGCGTGCGCGAGGGTTTTTAGACAAAAGTAAGTATTTTTCTTTGCCTCAAAGTTCTACAATGTATGTGGCAAGTCGTCCAGGCCACTGATTAGGCTTGACTAGTAGCGACTTTAGTGCTACTCTGTGACTCCAGATGCTTTCATAGATCTTGGCGTAATAAAAGTACTGCTACTTTAATAGTGACCTTCATTACTAAACTAGGGTAGAGTCCTTTTCAAGCCATTGGATTTTTTGTATAAAATTTGGTGTCAATTTAAGATTAAAGCTCAAATGACACGGAGCGTGCTACTCTTTTTAATTGTTTCAAACTGTTGATGATTTGTGGAGCCTTTTCGTCATGCCGTTTGGTTTCCAGTTATCACATTTTTTGTTCAAGGTGATTGCAAGGTGCTAGCAATCTGGCAGTTCAGGATCACTACCTATTGCTTTCAAATTACTTTAATAATAGTTGAAAAGAAATAGCGTCAAGGGGGGGGGTGTATGCGATAAACTTACTTCCATGTCACGCACCCTCGACAACGTATATTCGTGCGGCAAAAAAGTCTATAAACCGGTAGTTGACTTCTGACTTCAAACTACCATGACATTATGACATATTTGACCACTTCCATAGTATTCATTTTACCTTTTTTCTGCTTTTATGCTCTCTTTTATATCTTTGAAACACTTCTTTCCCACCCCCCCCCCCCCCCCCCCCCCCCCCTCTCAGCTTCCTCCTCTGTGAAGCCTGAAGTCAACTAGAGGGCTAATGATAACCTTCAAAACGCCTGCCATTTGATATAAATAAATATTTTCCTTAAATTTTAGTTTTGTTAAGTATGAGTCAATAAATAAGGTTAAGTTATATCAGGTTGATAGGGTAACAACAACATCGTATTGGGGGTCATCACAGGCCCCTGATAAAACAGCCCGATTTCCTGCTGATCACGATAGTCCCTAATCAAGTGATCATGAAATAGCCAAAACTGTTAGAAATGGAATTTCATATAAAATCAGTAAATCTCAGAAAAATGAAATGGTGAAACGTGAAATATCCATTATCGCTTTATTCGCCGCTTTATCATCGCCAAAATCTCTGCCATTCTATTACAGTCGCTTTCCATAATAATCGCATAATAGTTAGATTACTGTGGATAATAATAATAATAGTGATGATATCTCCTGTCTTCCAATTTTACAGAACGCGGGTGCAGGGTGAGGGGGGATAGAAATCATTTGTCGGTGAAATAAATTACTACTCCTATTTTAACGAAAATGACACAATTTTTGGTTTAGCTTTCTTACTAACATATGATGCGTTTTAATTGCTTTTTAAACTTCATTTTAAGGTAATAAAATATGAAAAACGACTGAGCTCAAACCATTAACCTTGCTTCCTTTTCCAAGTTAATACCTCAGTTATGACTGTCTTGTAAATTTCAGATTAATCAATACTAAAATGACTCGTTGCTAACTTCTAAGCATTTCCTTTTTTTTCCATAGAATTCTTTCACAGCGACGTTATTCGGTCTGATTGGCTCATCGGTGGCGCTGACTCTGGAGGAAGCCATGAAGAATCCCGAGGAGAACATACTCTACGATACAACACCCTACAGCAAGGCTTGGCAAGCTGGACTCGGAAGTGTGGTGACATTCGGCTCACTAATCGCTTTGATTACATTTATCGCTTTGGGGACAAAGATTAACGGCACCCCACGTAGGCTGCGGACGGCAGGGTAGGTCTGGGTCATAATATGCAATATGCAGATAATAGGAGCAGTGAAGAAATCTTGGTTTGCGGCTCGTATTTGAGTAAACTACTCACCAAATTTCTCACCTAACCCTCCCTCTCTCCCCCCCCCCAGATTCTTCCTTTCTAATGATGAGCTTGACTAAAATTAAATCCCCTAAATTGTGTTTCTTTTTTAGAGCCCCATTGAAAAAGGAGATGGCGTAGTACCACCCATTTTAGCCGTCTTAGAATGTTTATTATCCTCATTGTGAGGGTGTATGTGTTTATTAAATAAAAGCCTTTTGATTTATAACTGCTTTTTTGGAGTTCTGAAGTTCTACTCCTGTCTGCGCGAAATTAAACCCAAAAGTCATTATTTGATTGATTAGAATTATCGTATATGCATATTTGAACCTAGCGGTTATGGCATTTAGTCAAAAGGACACCAAATTGAAAGATAAGGTAGAAACTCGTATCAAAGGGTGAGGTTTGTGGGGGGAGGGGGGAATGAAGTAATTGCGATGATGTGAAAAGTAGCCGAAAGTTTTAGAACCCAAAATTTCGGTCAATTCAACTCTAATTTTAGTCCCATTTTAGCCTCATCTAATGTAAGTGAAGTTGCATGCAATTTCATGCGTACCCCTAGTTAAATTTTACACTCTTACTGTGATATTATCCCGTGAAAAACTCCTGTCCTTAGAGTTCATCTGGTGGCAAATCAGGAAAGTGTGAGCTTAAGTGTGCCATTTGTGAGCCTGACGATAACAAGGGGTGGGGGGTAGGAGAGGGAGAGAAATGCTGAGAAGGCATAGCATGACTAAATAAATTAAATTTTCTCTGTTATTTGACGAGCGGATGAACAGCTAAGAAGAGGCCTATGTCGGTATGGTAGAGAGTGGGTAGGTTTATTTATATCAAATGGCAGGCGTTTTGATAGTAATCATTAGCCCTGGAGCTGACTTCGGGGCTTCACAGAGAGGAGAAGGAATATCAAAGTGAAAAAGGTCGAGAGGGGGAAGGGGAACAGAAGAGTGTTTCAAAGATGTAAAAGAGGCAGAGAGGGAACAGAAGAGTGTTTCAAAGATGTAAAAGAGGCAGACAGACGCAAAGGCAGAGAAAAGGTGAGTTGAGTACTGTGGAGGTGGTTGAATATGACTTACAGTGGGGTCATGGTAGTTTGAAGTCAACTACCGGTTAATAGACTTTTTTGCCGTATGATCATACGTTGCCCAGGGTGCACCACGTGAAGATAAGTCTATCGCACACCCCGAGAGTGGGTAGGTACTGCAATATTAACGTAGTTTTGGCAATGGAAAACAGTTTCATTGAGGAGTTTTTCCCTAGACTGCTAAAGGCGTTTGCATGCTTTTTTTATAAAATTGTATTGTCTCTGTTATTTACGATCTATTTATTTATGTATATCAAATAGCATGCTTTATGATGGCCATCATTCACCCTTTGGTTTATTTCCTGCTTTGCAGAGGGGAAGAACATCAAGGTCACAGAAAGTCGAGGGAAGGGGTCGGGGAACAGAAGAGTGATGCATAGATGTTAAGGAGACAGAGAGACCAAAAGGTAGAGAAAAAGGTAATGCGAATACTTTGGAAGTTGTTTTATTTGGCACACATTGGGGTCATGGTAGTTAGAAGTCAGAAGGCAACTGCCGGTTAATAAAATTTTTTCCCCTAATGAGTATATGTTGCCCAGGGTGCACCACGTGAAGGTGTGTCTAACGCGAACCCCTGCTCTTTATGGTAATCGTTGGCTAAACATACAAGTTGTCAACCGCAAAATTTCCTTGAATTTCATCACGGACATGTCTGATGGATCAGAGAAAGCCGGACAATGTGTTGTGCCTTAGAGAGTCCAAGGGAATTTTTAATTTTGGCTGAAAATGGTTAATGAATATAGGATGCGTCAACAATCTCAGTTGTTACCCCAAGATCACTTTAACTCTTTAGAATGATAAAGTAGCACTTTTGGGGTACATAGTGTCACTTTACTTTTCAAGCGTTTAGTGCATCTAGGTTTCATCGCAAGTCGATTTTGAAATCAACATCGGCTTATCTCGGAGGATATAACGCTTTCAACATATAATTTGAGGGTGCATAGTGAAAGTGCAAAAGAAGATTTTTTCAGACTATTGTAACTTCAGAAATAAATGGGGTTAATGATGCGCTTTTAATATGCTAACCTCAAGGAAATGTCACAAGCCGAAACGAATAATTTCCCAATACATTTAGGAAAACGCATTTGAAACTTTAATTTTGGATTCGGAGTGGTTGCCATTAGCTTCACGTAGGTGTGAGTCATATTCTGTCATCCCCTGTACAGGACAAACTTGGCCTATTCTGCTGAACCTTCCGCTGTGAATCAGCGACTCTTGACTTTGTGGACAACCACGCTAAGCACTGCATCACCAGCTCGCACAAGCGAATGATCGCATATTTCCCAGATCAGTCGTACGATGCAACGAGGCATGATCTGTTTATTGTTTCAAAATGTTGACTCTTATCACGAATCACCTTTTAGCTATCTCTGTCACCTGTTCCAGGCATTTAAATTATCCCAAGAAGTCCAGTCACATTCACACAGTTCTATAAATATTTTTTTTAAAAGGAGTGAAGTGACTCAACAAATTCCATCTTCAACTTGGACAACTTTCAACAACTAATTTTCTTCCTAAGATTCACATTTCTATTAGCCTCACTCTATAGTTACTGTAGTCTGTTAAAATGATGCTTTAACACTGGATTGAGGGAGGGTAGGGGGTGGAGAATAAATTTTAAAACAACGTTATTATCTGATTATTCCATAAACGCATGTAGGTCTTCGTCAATTTTTTTTGAATTGTTAGCTAAAAGTGGAATCATACCAGAAGCCCTATGAGTAATGGGAAAGATGCAGACCTTAGGAGGATCAGTCAATTGGATACCATCTATTAGAACCATCGTCATTTCGATTACTCTTACCTATCATCTTCGTGGGAGATCAAAAAGCCTGATTCTCTTAAAGCGTTTTCTGAAGTAGATCGGCTTTGATTTGATGACAAAACAATAGAATTTGATTGCGGTTTCTGAGGCTCCTGTTGACATGTTAGTAACCTTCTCTTTACTGCAAACAGTTCCATGTGAATTAAGGAGCTAAATCAACCCAGTTCTAAATTCTGGATATCGTAAACCTATGGAAGTGGGTGTCATCTCAAGACATTGAAATATTGGAATATGACCGTGTCAGACACCCCCTACGGAAACAGAAAAAGCCAATGACTGCATAAATTAATCAATTCAATATATGTCTCTTCATTTCCCACCCCGTTCAATGCTTTATTAAACACAGTAGCCATTCTCTTACGGCTAAAAAACCAGCCAAAAATATCCTCAAATACCTAATGGAATGACGCTGATGATGGGTTGATAGATAACCTGCTCACTATTATTGCATTAAGCTCTAAATAATTTAGTTTTTTTGTTCATCATAGAACTGAGCGACAGACATCAACTATAGTTAATGCCCCATCCGAGGCAAAATCAATCCAAACAATTCTCCATTTTTGACCAAATTTTTCTAGTCCAAAATGTCATGTCCGCTCTGACTTCCTTTTAATATTTTTTGGATTTATATATATATATATATATATAATAAAAATTCTTATTATTTTTACTACTATTAATAAGAATATTAACGCCTGTTTGGCTACTATGCCGGTAGGTGGAAAAATAAAACTGCTCACCGAGGATACGCTTAATTGACCTCTTTGAGTATTTCCTCAAAGGTAGCAAAGTTAATAATAGGCGAAATTTTTTCGGGATAATTAAATGGAATATCCTAGGGTTACAAATTCAAAGTAAAATATGCTATATGGTTGGAAAATAAAAGCACTCTTTGTTATACCATTAGACGAAGGTAGGTGTCGCAATAGAAGTGAAATGTAGGCACAGAAGTTCCTCTGTGATGTCACGAAGCACGGAAATATTCAAATGTTAATTATTTTATAATTTAATAGATAAAACCAAAGTTGCTGGAGGGAATATTTATTTATTTCAAATAGCAGGCGTTTTGATCGTGATCATTAGCCCTTTAGCTTACTTCGAGGTTTGCAGAGACGAGGAGGAACATCAAAGTCGAGAGGAGGAACAGTAGAGCGATTCATAGATGTAAAGGAGACAAACAGACATAAAGGCAAGATCAATACTGTGAACGTGGTCGAATATGACTTACAGTTGGGTTGTGGTAGTTTGAAGTCAGAAGTCAACTGCCTATTAATAGACTTTTTGTCGTTGAGTATACGTTGCCCATGGTGCACCACGTGAAGGTAAGTCTATCGCACACCCCGATGGAGGGAATATAGATTCACGAAATACGACGATTTTGAACTCTTTAAAAATTTCGTTTGCTGCGGGAGATTACAAAACCAAGACGAATAAATACCACTTTTATAGACGTTATGAAAAGGAATTTTTTTCCGGAAATTTGTAAAGCAAAACAGGTGAATGTAAATTCCTCAATTTAGGCTTCTATACGATTATTCTCTTCCTGAGAGCTTATTTCGTAGTCATTAAGGGGTGAAAAATCGACGTGATTGCTTGCTTTGTATCTTGACAGGTGATTGCTAACTTATTTTAATTTGGATTTAAACTTTTTACAATTTGATTTATTTCCTACTTTCGCTATAAGCCTTAAAATTAGCACTCTCAGATAGGCAAGAATGCGAACGAAATAGGTCTTCACATAAGTAGATTAGCTTTAATTATTTTAAAAAATGTGGAATCACGAGAAATGTTTAAACATTTATGGTTAGCTCATCAGAGGTAACTTAAACATATGATGAAACGCTGTTCACTGAAGGTATCAACACCAGATTGTTGGATCAGGCTTAATAAGTACATACTACACAAACGGAAACAGAATGCAAGCATCTTTGTGTGAACAAGGTTAGTATGTCACCAAATAGTCCAACGAGGTATTTAAGAAATATTTTATTTAAATTCCCTTTGTATTTTCACTTTACAATTTTCCTCCAATAAAAAATGGAATTAAGTTTGCTCACTTCTTCTAATGGTAAAAGTTGCTTCCATTGAATTTCGCATTAATTGAAAACAAGTGTGCTTTCTTAAGAGAGACCTCTGTGGTTGGGGTGTGCAATGGACTTACTACCATGTTGTGCTCCCTGGGAAACGTATACTCATATTGATAAAAAGTATATAACTCGGCAGTTGACTTCA